TCTTGCTATGTAGTCTGGACTGGCCATGAACTTTCAATCCTGCCTCTTCCTCTCAAGAACTGGGATTACAGGAACGTACCATCACTCTTGGCAAAAACCACATCACACACAAAACTCAATCTATAAATATGTTCATGGGGCTGCTACACATGAACTGGGTGGGGCAGGCATCCCATATTTACTATTTACCTCCAGGTGTGCAGGAGTGTGGCCCCCTGGAGCACCTTGAGGTGCATTCTGAAATTGGCCCAGTGATCTCCACAGCCCTTAGTGAACTAACCCTGCATTCAGCAATGTGGTAGAGAGCCTGGAAAAAGCAGATGAGAAATCTGCTCCCACAGGGTTTTTGGTTTTGCATGTGCTGCCACCATCCATGTCAGAATAAAGACAAAGGGCAGGCCTAGACCCCAATCTACTAAGGAAGTACTGTGACTCTGGAGCAAGCCACATTTGAACCCCAATATCCCTGTGACCTACAGAGCTGTGCCACAGGACTGGTCTAGAGTTGGTGTTTCTGCAGTGAGGTCTGGGGAGGGAGGCAGTTTCATGAGAGAGAGAGAGAGAGAGAGAACACACACACACACACACACACACACACACACACACACTTTTTTTCTTGGTTTGTAGCCTAGCCTGGTCTTTTTTAGCATGAACCATGGCCGGCAGCCTAGCTAATGCATGCCAGAGTTGGCAGAGCTGACTCCTCCTTAGGCTACAAGCCGGCAGGCGTGGGTAGGCACTGAGTGAGAAGGACTGGCCAACAAGACAGGCACTGTTCCTGGCCAGGCCCACCCATACCACCTCCAGAACACAGGGGAGCCATGCTACCAATCTACCTTGACAGCAGCCCTAGGCTACACCCTATCTCAGGGACTTCATTTGTTGCCCTAGTTGGGAGTGGGTGGAGGCTTTTAAAGGAGGATTTGCTTCTGTTATGAGGTGGGAGGGCTTGAAGAGGTGGGAACACTGGCTGGAGGGACAGAAACAGAGATCCGATTGCTCAAGGAGATCTACCTCTTCCTGGGGGACTTGAGGTCACCAGTGGGTGCTCTCATCCTGCTGGTCTGATCTGGGATAGTGTTGGGATCCCACAGTGTTGGGATGCGTGAGAGCAACATGACCTATATGTCTACAGTGACCACGGGGTCCCTACTTCTCTCTGAGACCAGTTTCCTACTCCTGTAAAATGGGGATATAGCCTGCCTTGGATGCCAGCACCCTCCTAGACTGGCTCTGGAGCGATGAACCTTGTTAGGAGGTTTGGACTCTCTTGAGGGGCAGAGAGCTAGGAACTCCTGTCCTAGAAAGGATCGAATACTAAACTGTTGGTACAAATTCAGTTCATTCCAATAGAAGTTCATTCCTTGCAGACCCAGGAATGATGGTGCATCCAAACCCACTTTTCATCTGCACCAGGAAGAAGAGTCTTCTGTCTAGAAGGCTTTACAGAACTGAACTGACATAGGCTGGGGCACAGAACATGGTGGAGGCAAGAGGGGTGCTGGACTTGGCTAGTAGTTGTCTGGGAGTCAGTGAAACAGCAGAGGACCAAGGTAGGGTTCCCCTAGTTCATCTGTTCCTGGTCCCTAAGAGGAGGAGCAGCTCAGACTGGTACCCCCAGGGACCACCCAGCCCAGGTCTTTCAGGTAGGGGATTGGAGATGAGGCCGTAGCCACTTTGGCCCTTGCCACCTCTGTCAGGATCTTTGAGAGCAGCTGTGAATTACCATGACCTGTGCCTTTGTATCTTCATGTGCATGCCCCATCTGTGTGCGCCAGGCAGTGAGCACAGGACTCAGGGCAATTTCTAAACCCCCCTCCCCTGCCCCTTCCTGGGCAGCACTCCCAGTTCCCAGACACAGCCTATACACTTCCTCCATGAACCTCACATGTGTCGGCTCCCCTCCCTGTGGCCTGCTCCCCTCTAGGTTCCAGCAAGCAGCAGCCTGGCCCACCTGGCATGGCTCTCCTTCCCCCTCGGCCCCCCAAGCGAGCAGCACTAAAAGGCCCTTCTTGTCCTGCCTGGGCATATGGACATTGGGAAGGGGAACTCAGTTATGTTTGGTTTTGGGTCAGCTTTTTTAGAGTCTGGGTGGGCTTGGATAAGGCCCTGGCCCCTGCCCTGCTCCAGAGATCTGGGGTAGCATAAGTGTACACACAAGGCTCATCTGTCCCTAGCACTGCTGATGCTCCCAAGTCATCCTCAGAGGCAGCAGGATCTACTCTGATTCCATTTCTTGTACCTGGTGCCTTGGGGCCTCTGCTGTCTGACATACCCCATCACTTCAGAGACCCACTTACCTAACCCTGAAAGACACCCCCACCTCCCTGGACACCTGCCATGTGCATCCCACATCAAGTTTTTACATCCTGCCTTTCACACTCAGTGAGGTAAGCCAGGGGAAAAGGTGTGGGAGCCCTGTACCCAGTGCTACACTTTGACATCCTTCACTCTGTCACTTACCCCCTCCCCCACCGCCCCCTCAGGGCTATATCCCTATCTTCTTGCCTGGATGGCTGTCTCCTTCTCAGTCTGTCCCTCAGGCCTCACCCTCATCTAGCCTCTCCCAGTCCTGATCCATTGCTAAGGGGGAGCCTCTCACAGGGCTCAGAAGGAGCAGAACTCCCAGCTGGGGTTCTGTGAGCATCTTAGACACATTGCTTCTTTTCTGGGGGTTCAGTTCTTCTATCTCTACAGTTGAAATATTGGCCCAGATGGTTTCCAAGGATACTTGCCTCCCAGGCCCATGACCTGGATGCTCTGGGGTGCAGATAAGTACCAGGGCACTTCCCAGAATGCCTCAGCTGGGACATGAAAACCTGAGGGCCTCCAAGAGAGGTGGAGTGAAGCTTTCCTCAGGTAGAGCCCAGGACAAGTTTGAGCCAGCATTAGAGTTGGGTTTGTTAGCCAGAAGCTCTGCCTGGCATGGGGGAGAACATCAGCCATTTTATCTTCTCCATGCTAAATCCGTTCTGAAGTCCAGGGTGGGTTTAACATTACAAACCCCATGGACACCATGATGCTGTCCTGCCCTATACCTGGGCTAACTTCTTGGTGCCAACAGTGACCAGGCTGTGGACTTCATTTTGCCATTTAACGTTTCTGTATCCCAGACCAATGGCTCTTCCTATCTTTAGCTCAAAATATGCCTTCCAATCAGGCTGTTGGCTTTCCTATTGCAACATTGTAACACTCGCCTTAGCACTCTTGTGGTGGCCGAGTACAGCCTGAGTGCAAACTCCTTTCCCACACTCCAAGGCTTGATCAAGGACCACCCTTTGTCCTAGCCAGCTTGCTCCTGATTTTCCTTTCTCCACACTTTTCATCTCCATCTTCACATGCACAATCAGAAATTGCTCTTTGAGTTTGAATTTACTTTTTCTGTCTCCTGAATAAATTCAAGCTCTTTCTCTTACCTTCCCCATTCTCTTTCTTTGTTTTTTGCTTTTTTGTTTGCTTTTGAGGTAGCATCTCACTACAGCTGAGGCTGACCTGGAACTCCTGCTGCAGCCAAGGCTGTCTCACTGCACAATCTTCCAACCTCAGCCTCCTGAGTGCAGGGATTACAGGCATGGACTGCCACACCCAGGTTGAGCCTGTCTATTTCTGTGAGCTCTCACTGCCTAGCACAATGCCTCATGTTGTAAATGCTAAGATGGTATCTGAGAGCGATTTTCAGTAGAAGCCCAAGTAAGTAGGGGCTGCTGGGAACCATCCCTTGACTGGAAACTGAGGGCTGGATGAGCTGAACTCACAACTGCCTCAGGTCTTGTTTCCGTTTCTCTGAGGTCTATCTACCACCCAGGCACTGAGATCTCAGTGGAGTAAGTCCACGTAAAAAGAATAGCAGGACAGCTGGGGCTACAGAGAGACACTGTCTCAAAAAGACAAAAAAAAAGAAAGAAAAAAAAAGAATAGGGAGCCCGGGGATCCACCCCTGACTCAGTTCAGGGGGTCCTCTCCGGACTCATTTTTCCTTCTGGGTACCTCGTGATGCCCTTCTTTAGAGCTGTTTTCCCCATCTGATGGGGAGAAGGGTGTGGCATGGGCCCCTGGAAAGGAGACTCAGGCTTTCTCTGCTCCTAGTTGCTCTTGGAAATGGTCCTGAAAGATGTAGGCTGAAGGACTGATTCATACATAGGTAGTAATGACTGATGGGCCCTGAGGCCACAGATCTTATGGCATAACTAGACCATGTCTTCATTAAAGGAAGAATGTTGTAATACTGGGAATCCTGGCACTGTGACAGAGAAGGGGATAGAGACTAGCACCTCTCAGATGGTGCACTTTCATTCAATTTCTTCTGGAGTCAGGCACCAGAGCTAGGGACAGGGGGTGTGGCAGAGGTACCTAGGCTGTCAGATATCTGAGGGGTGCTAGCCTTGCCTCTGGAACTTGAAGAGTGGGGTGGTCCTGTCTGTCGCCAACTAGGCTGTCTCAGTGAGGAGACTGGAGATGGAAAAGAAGGTAGAAGGAAGGGCAGAGGTAGTAGCAAAAGCCAGCTGGCCAGCTAGATCCCTGGGAACAAGGAGAGGGGAGCAGAGCTTCAAGAAGGTACAGAAAGCAGTTAGAGGAGGCCACTGTGGAGGTGTGCAGGGTGACACACAGGGTGGGGGCAGTGTGCTTCCCTCTCCACTTACCACCTTACAGCACTCCCCATTCTTGGGGCATATAAGACCAGATGCCCATTTTTTTACTGTCACTGGGTGTCTTTTGGGCACCAATATGGTCACCCCAAACCTGTCTGACAAAAAGACTGGATGGCACAGGAGTATCCTGGGCAATCTGGGTAGGCACAGCCCCGCCCTAGACAATCTGACTCCAGGGGTCCCTGGTGACCCAACCAGACAAACTGGGAAAGATAGAGACCCCATAGACGGAGCTTTCCTTCGAGGTCCTCAGTCTCAGTCTGAGGAAGAACTCCTGATCTTGGGCTATGAGTTCAGTCCCCCTACATAGATCCCCTAGGCTGGGTTAGGGGTCTCAGGCTCCTCACTCACCAGGAAAGGCAGGTCTGGCCAACAGAGCCAAGGTTAGAGCCAGGGCCAGGACTGGGGCTGGCAGCGGGTGCCGTGGGCCAGGACGCATAGCGGCGGGCTGGGCTGGACTCGGGAGGCGAGGGAACCGAGAGCTGCGTCTGGACTCCAGAATCGTGAGTCGAGGGAGCTGGGCTCCTCGGGCGGGCTGGGACTCCTCCGAAGACAGGGTTCTTAACTTCGGGGGCGGAGCAGTCGCCGACCCGCGCTCTGGTTTCAGGCGGGGGCTCCCTCCGTCTGCCCCCACCCCCAACCTTCTTAAAGGGGCCGTGCTGGGCTCTTCCTCCTGGGCCAGAGCTAAGGGGACCTTCACTGCCTAGTCAGACCCTAAGCCCCACTTGGGGGATTTGGGACAAAGTCTCTGAGGCTCTAGACCTCCAGAACACTACCTCAGGACCACTTCAGACGCTGTCTAGCAGCAAGCATGAGCTGGGCCAGCCCCCTTCTGCCCTTGTGGGGATGCCGTGGGGGGGTGTCACACACACTTCAGGCCCAGATGCCCACCACTTCCACAGACCTCTGAGGCCTCAGGAGATCTCAGGAGATGTCAGTGTGAGGGTCCTCAGGGACCACTGGCCTGTCACCCTGACCTCTTTTCTTTAAAACATTTCATTTTCTCTGCCTATACAGGCGATAGGTCTGGACTCCTCCTTAATGCAGAAGTTTGCTCAGGCCTATGATGTCACATGCCTCAAAAATAACCCTGCAAGGTGGGTGCCCAGGACCCTTCCCCCCATTGTATGGAGGGGGAGAGCCTGGAGTGAAGGGTAGGTAGGTCCCTGGCCATTCTGGGCCAGGAACCCAGGTCTCCTGAACTCAGAGTCCTGGTGTTTCTGCTTGTCCTGCTGCCTCTTGGAAATCTGGCCCTGGATTTAGCTCCTACCTAACAGTTTCAGTCTGGGGCCTTCTTGCCTGGCTCCCTCCCAGGCAAAAACTTTTGCCCAGTCCCAACCAGGAGCTGGAGAAAACGCAGTGTTATTATGGTGCTTCCAGTGCTTGTGGCTGCCAGCCCCAACTGCAATGGAACCTGGCCTGGGTTTTTCCATCCAGTGGATGGATGGAGGAACACCCCTAAAATACTGCCCCTCTCTTCCCCCATCACACTCCAGCCCCCTCCAACCTATACTCCACTTTGTACCCTTTTCTCAGTCCCTTGCCCTTGACCAAGATGAAGAAACTGAGGCTCAGAGAGATTAAAGGGCTTGAGCAAGTCTATGAAGAGGGGAAGTCAAATCCTTGAGCCCAAGTCCAGTGCTCTTAGCACCATGCATGGTGTGATGGTGCCAGGTCTGTGATTATGAGTACTGCTCTCAAATCTTACTTGGCTGTCTGACCTTAAACTAGTCTGTTTCCTTTGTTGTAAGACTGGATATATAAGGATTAAGTAAAGTTTTTCTGTACCTCAAATACCTACTCCAGGGTCTACTCAACAAATATTGGTCTATTCTCCTCCCTCTCTATACATCCCAATACTTCACAGTTTGCATACAACTTACCTTCCTTTGATGGAGTGTCACCTATGTACCTTGAACGTTCTTCTCTAGAGGTAGTTGCATACAGTAGGTGTTCAATAAGTGCCTGCTGGGGTTGACTAAGAAGCTACTGGTTGCTGTTCAACAGGAATTTTACTAACCCTAAGAGCTCTTGTCCAGACACCCTAGGTAGTTTGTGGCCATGTGTCTAGTTGGCTTCAGTGGTAATAAAGCCATTGAATCCATGACTTGTCTCCTTTTTTCCTTCTCCTGAGTCAGCAAGACACTTGGTCCTCATTAGGAGCTGCTTACTGTCCACCCACTGTGTATGGGTCCAGGATTAGGAAATTTGATAAGATTGGAGGAAAAGCATTTTCTTTTTAAGAATAAAAGGGAGAGGAGATGTTTGATTCTTTATGAATTAGAAATTAGGGTGAAGATGCACAACTTCACTACTGTGAAATTTAAAAATATTTATTATTTTTATTTTATGTGTGTGAGTATATGCCATGTGGGTACTGAGAACTGAACCCAGGTCTTCTGTAAGAGCAGCGAGTGCTCTTAACCACTGAGCCATCTCTCTAGCCCCAAAACTTCACTAGTTTTAATTAGAATATTAAAAGCAAAAGCAAAAGAAAAAAAATTAGAGTGAAGATGTCCACTGGTTCCATGTCACCCATTTTCTCCCATCTTGCCTGGTCCCTACCCACAGATTTGCCCACTACTACCAGGAATCATTTGTCTGTTCAGAGAGCCTCCAAACAAGGAGATGCCGCCCACAGCTGAGATTCAAGTCAGGATGAGCTCTGAGCCTCCCCCAGGTTTGTTGCTGACTGGGCAGAGAAACACAGGCCTGGAAAAAGAAGGCAGCCATGCTGCAGTCATGACCCAGCTTGTACGCTTCTGCTGGGGCTTTCAAGTTTGTAAAGTATTTACCAGGCGAAGGTAGTTTTGTGATAGAATACTTGTCTAGCATGCACAATGCCCTGGGTTTGGTCCCTAGCACTAGGAAAAAAAGGGGTGCCGGTGGCCGGGGATATAGTTCAGTTGGTAGAGTGCTTGCCCAGCATGCAAAATGCTCTGGGTTCAGTCCCCAGCACTGCATAAAAACTGGGCTTGGTGGCACATGCCTGTAATCCCAGCACTCAGGAGGTAGAGGCAGTAGGATCAGAAATTCAAGGTCATTCTTGTCTACAAAACTAGTTAAAGAACAGCCTGGACACAGACCTAAACACATACAGGCACACACACAGATACACACAGAGAGAGAGAGAGAGAGAGAGAGAGAGAGAGAGAGAGAGAGAGAAAATGAGAATAATTTACTTGGGTTCTTAACACCTTAGGAAGTGTGTGTTGCCAGTACAAAAGGGTCGCTGGGGTTCTGATGTACACAGGCTTAGCCTCTGTTCAGTCTATAGCACTGAACTTGAACTCTGGATCGATGCTGTGTAGTGCCATGAAAGTTGAGGACTCATGTTGCTTAGGAATGACTGATTAACACTCACTGACTCAGAGATGGGCAGTTGGATGGGGGCACTGCCCCCCTCTGTTGTCTCCACTTTAGCCTCCTATGCACAGTTGTCTTGAGAAAAGCTGAACTAGACCTTGCTGGCCCTCAAAGTTGGCTCTTGCCTCCATTCTGCCTGCCAACTTTTGCCATGATTTTCCTTGTCTTCAGTTAGCTAGGCATCCATGGTGGCCATCCCTAACCGCTTCACATTTCACCTTCCCCCAGGAAACCTTCCTGCCCTCCTTCCCCACACTAACCTTTCTTTCTAAAGACTCTGTGGAGTTTACTCCCTGGAGTATCCCCCTCTCCTGTAATCTGTTCCCCACTTGGCCTAGCTAGATTAGGAGGTATAAGTGAATGCTTCCCCCATCCCCAGCCTGGGCCTTCTCAGCAAGACAGACGACAGGACACATGCAAGGGGCAAAGAAAGAAAATGGCACCTTTAATTCAAAGAGGATTCCAAATTCTCTGATACTACAATAAGCTGGAGTATGTGCTTCTTCAGTTTCTCCAAGTGCTCTGGGAGAATAAGACAACAGACAGCCCAACAACACCCACTTTCCCACCAGTGTTCAGCTCCACATGTTGGGCAGGCATTTCTGATCACTTTTACCCCTCAGTGCTTCTGGAACTAAGCATGCCAGCTCTGTCTGTAGCCCCGCCCTGCCCTCAGCCCCTGACCGCCTGGGCCCCACCCAAGGAGCCTGTGGCCAAAGCCAGCCTGCTGGTAAATCATGTGTGCTTGTGCCCTCGATGGGGTGGTGCCTGAACACTGCTTCAACTGCCTGGGCCCTGCCCTCAGGAAAATGGCCCTCTGCCACAAAGGACACAGAACCCACACCACCCTATGCAAGGGGACATGGGCTTTAGGCGTTGGCTCCTTGGTTTTATAGTCTCACAACCAGGAGCTCCACAGCAGCAGCCCCAGGCCAGGCTTTGGCTAGGAGTGATGCTGCTCCTGCTTCTGGTGCAGGCGCTTTTGGGGGTCCTCCAAGTGCAGGCAGCTAGGCTCCCACAGGCAGGAGCAGCTAGTCCCAACAATTACACAATTCAGGAGCTGAAAAATTGTCTTTGCTGCTTGGGAAGCAAAGCGGTGGATGGGAGGCTTGGGGAAGGGGGGCTTTGTCTGCCTAGCCAGGATGGGCTGTGAGCCACATTTATGCCATATTGGGAAAGTGGGGTGGGGCCAGGGTAGGCGACCCTTTTGGGGCCTCTCAGGTTCCCCGGAGCAGGCTGTCCTCTGCCATACCACGTCCACAAAAGCTTGTGGCTTCAGTGGCTGTGACCAGCTGGCCACAGCTGACTCCCCTTGGGATATGCTATTTCTAAATATTAGTTCATACTGTTAACCTTTGCTGTGCTGTCCTGGGGTACATTGGCTGCCTGCAGAGACAACTTCTGGGAGGGGTACTAAACGAGCCCCTACTGAGTGGAAAATATGTGAATGTACTCACTCAGGATGTGACATAGGCTGGGTACTTTTGGGGTGCTTGACTGGGGCTCCCAAAAGGGTGAGAAGCACCTGCTTGGGCCTGGGACTGAGGCTTGCAATGTATGTTAGATGGAGGGCTGAGCCAGCAGCTGGGAAGGGCAGTGGAAAGAATGTGGGGTAAGGAGCCAGGAGTCAGGTCCTGCCAAGCCTTTTCTGTGTGACCTCAGAGGAGTCACAACACCTATCTGTGCTTTCTTCCTCATCTGTCTAGAGCCACCACAGTTCATTGCCAATGGCCCCCAACAGAAGCACTGGGGCTTTGTAAACTGAAGGGCAGTGCCTGCACATTCTACCAGGGTTTCGTTCTCTTCATGACTCTTGGGATTCCCTTGGAGGAGAGGAATAGGAATGTGGAACAAGCTGGTGAGGCTGCAGTTAGCCTATCTGCAGATACTCCTGGGCTATTGACTACTTGTCCTTGTGCAGCAAAAAGCCTAATGGGAGCTGGGGAAATGGTTCAGTGGGTAAAGTCTTTGCTGTCTAAGCATGAGGACCTGAGTTTGGATCCCTAGCACTTATATGAAAAGCCAGGCTCCCCCAAAGATGTCCACCCAATGTCACATCCTGAGTATTCTCACATATTTTCCATCACCTGTATCATTGCATCACCTGTAATCCCAGTGGTGGGAGGTGGAGACAGGTGG